GACCACACATTCCTCACTCCACCTTGGCACAGGACTCTTGTGACCTACTGCATTTTTACATTGAGATTGCTTAAGTTGATTTTGTCAGCAAATAAAGAGAGAGATATCTACATACGGGACTTGGCTATGAATGGTTTACCAACACATAAGTGAAACTGTGAGGAATTAAAAAAAATCAACAAAAGATTATTGAGAAGATATTCTCAACTGATCACAGGGCTCCTTCTCACAGGTAGTGCACGACTAGGGCTCAGCTGCTCTCTGAGGCACAAAGAAGTCCCTTTGCAACAGCATCAGTGCACTGTTTCGCACTCCTCTCTCTCCCTAGGAGAAACAATAAGGGAGCAAGAGTCCGAAATATTCCTGCATTCCAGAGTCATGGGGAAAACTCTGCAGTCTTCTCCCAGTCTGTTATATTCCTCCCTTTTTGAAGCGCTCTCTCCAAAGCGCATCACAGAGAACAAAACATGCTTCTTGTTTACTAGCAGATTACATACATCTTATCTGTGTTTAAGAACTGCTCGCTCTTTCAATTTTTTCTTCTTGACACAGCTTTAATTAGTTCAGTCTTCTTACACGGGTCACAGATACAACATGTCTGTCCTGGTTATGTTCCTTTCCACTTTCTCAGTTCAGTGAGATGGCATAAAAGTCTTTGGGAGGCAGTCATGCTGAAGACAGGCATATCTGAATCACAAAACAACACACAGAGCTCTATTAGATGCTCACCTATACAACTAAACAGGAAATCTGACCAAAAAAAACCAAACCAGAGTTGTTTTACCTTTCCCCCACCACTACAACAGGAAAACCAACTATCCTACCCTAGCTGCATACTCAAGAGTCCGTGCAGCGTGCAGTTAGACAGCTCAACTGAAAAGGGTTCATTCCTCCTTCTAGATCACAGCAAGGCAGTGCATGAACCACAGCTCAGATCCATAAATTAAAGAGCACAAGCATCTTTTCGTGAAAGTAATCCAAAATGCAACAGAAATGAGCACTTCCTATCACTGTGTAGTTTAGATCCCCCCAGCTGCTAATGCTTTTGAGCACGCCTTGCACTTAGTTTCCATGGCCCAGCTGTACATCAGATGTGGAGAGCTTCAAACTTCCATTTTAAGCTTATAATGAAAGTGAACTGCATTTACATAGCACTATTAGAATGCAAATAACTTAGGTGCTTTGTGCCAAACAAAATCATTACATCTCAGCAGATCTACTGATGCAATTACATAGTTCAAAAAGCCTCAGTTCCTCTCTTCAGGGTAATTAAACCACAAAAAAGTATGATGTTCAAAGAGCAAGAAATACGAAATCCACAAAAAGAGTTTCAAAGTTTAGATTTAAGCACTATCCAGAAGCCAGCACATTAGGACTAGCTGACCTCAAGGTACTCGCACTCAGGCAATCCTTCACACGAACTAACAAATCAACACTCTTATGGGTGCTAAAGTGTGGTCAAAATTTAAGGTTACACCTATTACTATTCATGCTCACTAAAGTAGATTAACCATTAAAGTAAAAGCTTTAACTCCTAATTTCTTTTGGGTAAAAAAAAAGTGATCGTGCACCCCTCAGTCCACTTCTTTACATGCAAGTAAAGTATTTACAATACTAGAAAAGAACAAACAGTTCAACAATCAGTTAGCACCTAACACTAATATTGCCAGTTAGGGCATAATTCAGCAACAAACTTAATTAAATATCAAGTTTACTCTTGGCCACTCAAACAGTTTTTATCACAGCAAAGCATTGTTTAAAAGCAAACAAAGAAATGTGGTCACTCCAATCCATACAAACATACATTTCAACAAAAGCACAGGAAAAAAGGTGACTATAACAGTGCCACTTCTTACAGAAGTCCTACAGTAAATTTTCTCAATGGGTTTGTTAGGAAATGGTGTCTAAGTTTCTAGGTTGATAAATTAATTTATACATAAAACACCCGAGAAAATCCAACCAAATTTAAGCATCAACTGTATCAAAGACACCAATAACACTCCAATAAGCCTCAACCGGAAGACAAAAAACGTAATGCAAATAAATTTTATTTGGTATTATCCTGTTATACAACCATTGTATCTTACAGTTATTTGACCGTCATTTATCCAACTATTCAAAAAAAAAACCTAAACCAACACATTACTTCAAAATCTAACTTTTTCTAAAAAGAAAAAGTTTAATTTTACTTTGGCTTAAACTAAAGGATTTCAGGAAAACACTGCATAACAGCTTCATGAAATTTACAGACAAGAATCCCTCGTGCCTTTGACTGACAGAACTTCAAACAGAAGGGAAATTTGGTCAAGTTCAGTCCCAGCTTTGTTCCCGAGTTTGACAGTTTGCTTCTTTGTAAATGAAGCAATTAACAGCTTTCACGTTAATGATCACAGATAAATAAGAAACCAGGAAACAGCTTCATAGGTCAACACTTCCTGTCCCACCTTGCTGTTTCCTGATACACAAAATACATTAAAAAAACCCCAACAAAACCCAAACCACAAAAGCCAGCCAACCATCACTCAACTGCTTACAGATCAAATTTAAAAGGAATGTACCCTTAATTTGCAAATTAAGCCACCTTAAACGGCTTCCTGATTCATATGAAATTGTATTTTCACTTGTTGAGATGCGCAAGATATTTATAAGCCTTTAAAATAGGAAATCATACTAATTGGTTCAAAAAACATGACTTCTCTTTAAACACATACATAGCATTGCTGTTGAAGATTTATGACACTAGACAACCCACTATTTGAACAGCAAGATCTCATACTACCCTATTTACGACAACAGTAGCAGCAGAATTAGTATCACTGTACAGCTGGGATCATAAAGACTAGATAAGACAGCATGACTTCAAGCTCATTTTGTACGAAAAGTTCTTCAATCTCCAAAGCACTTTATGTGCAGGGCTTCACAAAATCCCTCATTCCAAGAGTTAAAAATCACTGTACAGATTGAGATACTCCCACAGTAAGGTCCCAAAATCATGCAGAAGACAGACCCAAAAAGAGTCCATAAGTTCATCTGTCTGTTTTGGTTTGGGGTTTTTTGGGTTGTTGGGGTTTTTTTTTAAAAAAAGTTATGAACAAGTAGGTAAAGGAAATGCATTGACAATTTATAATAAAGAAGTTTCAATCCTCTGCAATATATCAAGCTGTACTTCATAACAAACTCCATACCTGACAGAAAAGAGGAAAATCTGCAAGGCAAATCAGAAGAGAAAAAATTAAAAGGTAAAGAACTACCAAATTTAGTTAGCAGGACAGAATAATGTAGAATTTGTTTTATTTAGATAAATTTCATAACTTCAGAAGAATCAGCATGTCTCTTTCTACTACATTCCAGCTAGGCACTGAAGACACCACCATTAGCTGAGGAAGTGCACCTTTCTCTTCCTCCCACTGCTACATTTTGGCTTCTCTATATAAGAATTTGGTGATTGAAAAATCATCACAAATTATCTCTGGCAATATTCTCCAAGTGAAAAGTACCAGAGTTTAGAAAATGTTTCTAACAGCACCAAACTGAAGACACTGATACCAGAAAGCATTTCACTCTATGAGTCATGGTTACCAGGATGAACCCAACAATGACATTACAGTGAAGTAATTTTTTAAGCAACCTGAGGATCTGAGGACTTGCTACATAATTAAACTAAAAGCTTTTGACCATACATGTATGAGCACGTTTTTCATCATCTGACATTTTTTGGTTCGTCCAAATACCGCAAAGGGAACACTAACCTTTATAAGCCTGCCACATGTACATTCCAAAACTGTCAAATTCAGATCTCAGACCAGCAATAAAACACACCATTAGTAAACCTAAACCAGCAGCCTAACATCTAATTTTACAACCTCTGAATGTCCAAATTTTCAACAACAAAAAAAATCAATACAAATGTCAAGATTGAACAAGTAAAGGAACAAGACATGAGGAAAACTGGCTGCAACAGAAAGAAGCATTTTCTATCCAATAACAAAAGTTTCAATATGCATAAATCCCTGAAAGAAATCTTATTAAATATATTTAGCATTCAACTTAGACAAGATAAAATTATTTTTATTGAGACAGATTTGTTCATGTCAGCATTTAAACTCTCAAGAAAAAAGAACAACGGAGTGAAAGTAAAAAGTTTTATGATTAACCTTCTGGAACTTCAGCATCAGTGTGATTGTACTTAACACCTCTGTAAAACACCGCTCAAAACCTCTTTTTTCTTTTAGCTAAGGCTTCAGAGTATTTTTGACAAGTAAATCAATACCCTCATAAATGAACGATATGCTGAATGAAATAACCTCACACAGCTAGCATGGACACATGCTGTGTATGCCATTAATTCACTCGTAAACGTCAGAACTTTCTGTTCACCACTTTACGCTTCAAAACACTGACAACTCAATCTCTCTGCACCACACTACATTCTACTCCAGCTAACAGTTAACACTGCTATTGGTCCTTGCTCTAGGGTTTTCTTCAGGTTGTTTTGTGGGTTTTGCTTTGGGTTTTTTGGGGGGGTTTTGTTTGTGGGGTTTTTTTTTTTTTTTTTTTGGTCAGACCATTTATTTTCTAACCAGTTAAGCAGCCCACTGTGCCATATAAAGGCATTCTTAATTACATGTTAAGATGTAAGCCATGCGGTGCCTTCATCCATGTACTCCCCACTGGTAAGAACAGGAGCTCTCTCCATGAAGTCTGTCAACTAGGTTATGTCAGACAACGTATCTTAGATCTTCATTCATTACCAAAGAGGCTTTTTGAAGAAAAGCTCAGAAAAGAATGATGCATAAGGAGAAAATTACTCATCTCTCTTTCACCGCACTGACCAGCTTAGAGGATAAAATAATATTCAGTTGGCAACCGTTTACACTGCTACTCCAATATCAATGCTTCCAATAAAACACACGTGGAAACCTTTTTCCATACAAATCTTATGCAAAAAATACAGTCCTTTACTGCAAGCACGTACAAGAACTGTTCTGCACATGAGCATTTCACGTTCCTTTCTTCATATACCGGGAGAGGAACTGGCTTCTGACAAAGTGGATCAGCTTGGTCTCTGTGCAGAACATAGTAATGATGGTTGCTGCAAAGCACAGAGCCCCCATGCTGATGTGAATCAGCCTTGCCATCCAACCCTTATCGCAGCAGCAGAACACCTACAACAAAGGAAACAAGCAATTGCAGGAAAACTAGTCAGCACAAAGTAGATTTACTGTCTCAATAAGAAACAAGGTCCAACACCTCTCTTGACCATGCTAACATCACCACAAGCTAAGCATGATTTTGCCACGTGCAAAGATCCTACAATAAGTCATCTTTAGTAGCTGCAACACTTGCTTTCTTAAGAAAATTCTGTTAGCAAAAAAATGAGCATTCAGTAGATATCGGGTAAATGTGGAAGTTATTATTATCCCACATGCAGAAGTATGTTAATCAAGATATTAGGAAAACTCCGCTGGTGCTATCACGCAAATCTTCTACTTTGCAGCAACGTATTAGGCTATTTTCTAACAAAAGCCCACTGGAAATCTCCCATTCCAAAACATAAAGCTCTTCTTCCTAAGGCCTAACAGATTTTCAATCTGTGAAATTTTTGTACATTGAGATGCTATCGTCTCTGTCATAATTAGTCTGTGCAATTACCATCCCGCAGTCTGAATAAATGTGCTCTTGGCAATTTTTGTTTCTGTTCTTGTTTTGGTTGTTTTTCCTCTATAACTTTTTTATTACAGAATTTTTAATATCCGTTTCTTTGTGCTGTCGCAAAATTCCAAATATTATTAAGAACATGGACATGGATTTATCTACGGACAGAAGAAACGTGTTAAAATTTTACTTGGCAGATACACCTTCTACAGGTGGCAGAGATAACTTTGTATCAAAGATAAAATCTCTTAATATTATATCTTGCTTTGCCCATACTGCAAGTCTTCTAGCCTCTCCTTGTTGGCCTTGTTTTTTCACTAATGGTACTTATCTGCTTGTGGACACAAAATTCATTTGACACTAACTTTCACAGTGAAAGCAAAAATCTGAGAAAGATGCTTACCTCTGAGAAACCAGTGATTACTCCACTTATAATATAAACAAGTACCAAAAATGGTGAGGGAAGCAAGCCTGTCAAAGGTCTGTAAGTGCTTTCTTTGAAGTAATCGTAGATATAGTGGATGCTGTGAGCTATTCGAATACCCATGTTAAAGCAATTGGCAAGGATAAAGCCTACACTGCCATGCCAGTGGGTTAAGAAATAAGAGATGCACAGAAACGTGAAGGACAAGGCCAGCATAACAAAATTGTACCTAGAAAAAAAAAAAGAAACAAAGTGACCATGTATACAGTTACAGTATTTTAGTTACTAACTTCATCTTTGAAGAAATACCACAATTTATTTTCTAAAATGAGAAACAGAAATTCTTTTACCACCTTCTAATGGAAGAATACAAATTTGAGAACCTGGATGTTAATTAAAAAATTCATTGAAAGAATGGAAAACACATCAAGCAAATTAAATGAAGAACCACACTACGCGAAGGAAGTTCTGTTTCACTAATCAGCTGTACGCTCATTTCAGAAAGTCAAATTTAATAGCAATGATTAGTAATGTAAAACTCGTGGATTTTTTGCTATTTTATTTTAGGTATATATTAAAGAAAAATAGTGTTCAACAACATGACAATTTATTTTCTGCTCCAAACAGTGGCTTTGAAAACAAGTTCACACTTTAAAGGGGTCATGAAAGCAGCCCTCGCTGAGTCTAAACCATACTACTGTGATTGTGGCAAGCAGACCTCTCTGAAATTAATTTGGAAAGGCCTTGTAAGGGACAGCTGCTACATAAGGAAAAAAAGCTCGATAGTAGCACTGGGAAGGCAACCAGGCTTCAAAGTCAATAACCCAGGATGGACACAGAATCAAGAAATAATGCAGACTGAAAGGGATCTCAGGAAGTTATCTAGTCCAATCTCCTACTTGAAGTAGATCAACCACCGAATTCAGATCCAATTTAGATCATTCAGAAGGGTACCTGATACACAGTGACTGTACATGAAAAATCTTAACAGCTGCAAAATTTTAATGAGTTTTAAGTGACAGCCTGTCTTAAAAATTGTAACTTCAAGTGCATACATACAGAACACAAGACTTCATGTTTAAATTACTTTTCCAATTCGTAATGTACCAAAAGCTAATTTAACAATCTTTTTATTTCTCAATTTCTGATATTTTTTTTTACCTTTGTACCCAAACATATAAACATTTGCTAAAGCTTCTACATCTAAGTCTACATGCAGACAGCTGAATAAGGAGCTGCTTTTCAGTGGGGCAGGACATTTTTACGCTGATTTCAAATGCACCAATCTCTTTATAAAGTCATTACAAATAAATTTTTAAGACCATCAATGTTTACCAACAAATACAAGCATGTAAAAAACAACAGTGGTGGAGGTTTGCTTGCCCATCTGTTGCACCTGCCTCTGGAGACAAGAAACATAATTCTTAAAGTAACAGCAGAAAGAAATTTGCTCTTTGGAAAAAAAAGCATTTCCAAGCATATATATTCATGCAGAACGATTGTTCTGTTTACATACCGAACTCCAAGCAAACCACAGCAGATTAACTATAGGAATATTCTGGGGACACTATTTCCTACCTGTCTACCTCCTCTTTGCACATCAAAGCAAACGTAAAGCATTCTGTTACTCCATTGACGGCAAGAAATAGGACATATAAAGAGTAACATCGAAGGAGATCTGGGCCTAAAAAACACATCAGAATGAGAAGTAGGTAAATATTTCTTTTATAAAACCGTGTTGTTTTTACACTCACTGAGAGGTAAAAGTTGAAATGTTATCACTAATAATGGAAATTTAAGTTCATTTGAACAAGTTTCCTGTCTAGATATCTTGATAAGAACACAAATAAACAAAATAAAATAAAACCCAAACCACCCAAGAATAGAAATTGATACAGTAAACAGAAAAAAAAATATCAAAAGTATTTTATTAAAAGGGATTTCCTAACTAAAAATGAATATTTATCATAACCCAAATCTTCTATTGTACAGAAATTCGTGGAAATTAATCATAGTTATTATGAGGTACTAAAAGCAATAAAGTGTATATTTTGAACACAACAGTAAGAAAAAACAGAAAGCCTATTCAATACATTCAAAATTGTGCTACATATTCAGACTTTTATGGGTCAGTGATGATTTAGACATGACTTCAAAATTCTCCATTGAGACCTTAATCTTTTTCTTGTCCTTTAGAAATTATAACACTAGGGAAAAAATCCTGTGCTTTGTAACAGGTTAGTGTGCATTCCTGAATATTCCTTCTTGATGGCAATAATGTAGTTCATATTACCAAGTCTCCTCCTCTTTCAGTTTTAAAGAAACAGTTATACAACTACAGTAAGATTGTTACCATCATATGGTTTAGCACTATAAAAAAAAGTATAAATAGTTTTCATGCTAAAACTATGGATTCTTTGGTTCCAATTTGTTGTATGGGTTTGGGGGCGTGTTTGTTGTTGTTAATTCAAACAGCTAGATTTAGGAATTTTACATCATGGAGCAGGCAAACAAACCTTTAAAACGTTCTTTTCCAACTATGTGAAATTGCAGGAAGGTAGAGCCCTAAATCTGACTGTATGTATTTAGAGCTCCTCAGATTTTAGTTTAAGGTGCCTACAACATATTAAAGATGCTGTTACAACAGCATGAGTTCTGGATTCCGCCAAGCTAAACCACTTGTTTCAACAGGAGTTTTACAGAAAAAAAAAAGAAAATCTGCTGATTTCCAGAAGAATTCATAGTAGCTGCAGTTTCTCTTTTTAAAGAATGGCTTCTTTGTTAGCTCTGTAAATCTTTACCTGTTCCAGAACTGAGCATTGAGCCTCCATAAATATCCAAAGCCAGCTGAGAATAGGCATAGCCAAAAACAGTAATGGTAAGGCCAATCAGAAGCACAAGCTTCAACAGCAATTCTAATGTATTTGCAGCCATAGCAACATCATCCTAAAAAAAAACCCACCAACGTAGTCAATTACATGAATCAGAATCAATATAATAGTTATTTTCACACAAAAAAGCTACTTGACCAAAAAAAACCAGTTTGCACAGTGTAAAAAGGTGTGAAACTTATCCTTTGTTATTGAATTATCCACACACGGTCTTAACTTCCAAGAATTCTTATATATTTATTATTCCATTGTATGTTTTACTCATTACGAATTCTACAAAATTTAGCCATGAATATGCCTGTTTAAGGCAATGTGCAAACAACACTTGCACCTGTTCGCCAGTTAGTAACAGCAAAGAAAAGCACAGCACCTGCCCAAGGCCACAGTTTGAGTCAGTGGGACAGTCAGATTTTTATTGCTGCATGGGACTACAGGATTGCCACACCAGAACAAGCAACTGGTCAGTTCTATTACCTCATTACAAGAAGCATTCTTGTAATTCTTGTAATGTAATGTAATTTAATTGCACTACATACAGTGAAGACTCATAACCATTTTGCCAGTTATAAATATCAGGTACATTATATATAAAATATACATATGTACACCTTTCTTAGCCTGCCAATGACATGAAGCAGGGGATTTGTTTAATTGTATGCTATGGTGCAAGTAGCAGGATTACTACAAAAAGTTGTCATAGCAAAAAAACCCAGGCTGATCTTCATGACTGATCAAGAATTTCTTAGCTAGAGCATATACTAATATCACTGTGCAACACAGCTCGTTTGTTTAATCATTGATACTTCACAAACAATTCAAAAGAAAAATACAATTCTTTTCTTCCCAAAACTGCACTCTTTGGAAACACTGTTTAATACTTAACAACTAATTACATTTTCAAGTCAAATATTTTCAGTCAGCATTTATTTGACAGAAATAGCATGCTTTCATGATTTAAGTAATTGTCTAAGTATACCTGGAAATACACGGTACATTACAGTTTACATCACACTGTCTGGAGCAGATGATGCTGACTTCAGTTGTAACACAAGGCAGCATCATGCCACTGAATATCTTAATTTCTATTTCATTAGCATTTTACCTATTTTCTTTTCTTTTGGTCCAGCCTCACTCAATATTTTTGTTTTCCAGTTCAACTTTTCAATTTTAACAGCCTTTATACTTAAACACACTTCTGTCAGTCACACTTCTGTGATGCAATTTATCTGTAACAAAAACCAAGCATTGGACATGTAATTAATCAAAAAAAAAAACCATACCTGCTTCTGATCCTTTACATTCTTCCCTCTTTCCATCACTTTAGCAAAAAAGACATAAAAACTCTCCTCAATAGGCAAAAAGATAAACCTGGCCACCAGTGAACCAAGATTATTCACGATATCATATACACCTTTAAAAAAAAAAAAAGCAACACACAAAAAAAACCAAAGAACATAGCAGCAACCTGTAATTTTCCTAGACAGATTGTAATTCCAAGTCTTTAACAATGACATGAATTCTAATTTAACATTTCCAATGAACAAAGAGAAAACAAGTGGAATTTAGTGCAACATAAAAGCAGTGTTCCCTGAAAATTCTGACAGGCACACCAACCACAGCTCAAAATTGCCAGGCTTGCTCTTAGATGGCAAAGCTAGGACAACAGCATCCACTACAGAGATGTGAATCTAGTAACAGCACCTCTACAGTAAAAATTTTAAATGTGATTTGGAAGTTAAAAGAACCTGATAAATTTCACTGAATGAGAACAGGAATGTAAGGATTTACTGATACAGGAGAAGAGAAAGTTATCTATTTTTAGTGTTAAGTTCTCTCTTTTTACATTCACTGAAGTGGAAGAGCAATCCTACGTGACAATTCACAAGCATTCCAACCTCAGCAAGGTACTTCTCCAAAACTGCTAAGACATCTGTGTGTGTGTGTATATTTTTACATATTCACAATGAAATAATAGAATATGGTTCTGGCTGATTTCATAGGACTTCGAACCAACGTTTCTCAACATTTTGAGAGTACGGGTGTTTTTGTACTCATTGCTCTTTTAAAGACCCTCTAACTGTTCTGCAGGGGAGGAGGATCAGAAGCAGCCACAGTTACTAGAGGCAAGCACATGTACTCACTATTTATGGGGGAATAAACTACTGCCAGCAATTAAAAGTAATTCAAACTATCCAAGAAATTCCTAATAGTGAGCCAACAACTACAGCCTATTTTCCTTCCTCAAGCTATAAAGACCCAGTGCTGGCAACTCAGTCATTTGAATGGCTACTGGCATACATTACTCTGCACCACACTGAATTCTTTTAGATAATATAATTCGGTGTTGAGATGCGATGCTATGAACAATGATGTTCTTGCCCTAACAGCTAACACAGAGTCATAAGGAAGACAGAACACAGCAGGAAAAAGACAGTTACAAAAGCTGAAAGACAGACAACCATAATACATCAGATACTAATGAAGTTGTTTTTTAAAAAAAGAGAAACACGATACATGGTATGACATATCCAGCTGGAAAGTTTTGATTCAAAGAAATAAAATTAAAATCCAGCATCTTAAATTAATTCTTTTCTATATCTATATCAATCATACTCTGAAATGTATCTCAAAGGCACAAAGGCTTTGAAATCTTCCCAGATTTTCAAGTTATCTTCAAATACTTTAAGTCATTTTCAGAACCATCTGAGGAGCACCAACTAAGAAAACTGTCACCATTCCACAATAACATCACACTTACCCTGATCTCCAAAATTTAACACGTTCAAAAAAGTCATCACATATCGTTCACCTGTAAGTTCAAAATAAAGGACTTAAGAAAAAGTCCCTAAATCTTTCCCAAAACTTGTTCACGCACTTACAACATTAATTATTCCAGAGACAAAGTCAAATGGGACAGCACTAATTCAGAATACCCTCAAAAATTTCTTTCAAGTTGGTAACATTTGCTGGCAACAATCTCTGAAAGTTGCATGCCCATACCCGCCCAGCTTTGTCAAGCTTCAAGGCAATTTTGTAAATAGTATTCGCTAGCCCTTCTCCATCACAACTGTACATCAAGCCTCACCTTCTGTCAAAATCTGTTTCAAGAAGGACTGTTTGAAGAAACTCCAAGTCAACCGTGCTTCCTTCCAGTTAACAAAGGTCTGCAAAAAAAAAGTACTGAAATGTAATAAACATGATTGAAACTACTGAGTAGGAATAGAAAATACAAAGCCAGCATAATACTCTAGGCTAGCTCTAACTGTACTGATGAGGAAAACCCACAATGTCATAGCTACTAACAACTAATCTAAAATATTGCTAAATTCAAGCACCAATACCACTCTGATCTGGCAAAGACGTTTTCACTTGCTGAAAATTAGTGTTGCCACAGATAAAGTACCAAAAAAGCTTTCTACAGAAAATACTAACCAAAGTTAGAGACTGGAACAAATCCCATGCTGTTTAGCATGCCACTGTAACTCTCACCTTTACTAGAGATATCTTCAAGCTGTCCCCACAAGTCTTACAACCAAGAACCACCTCTATCTTTTCAATCTTTTTCAAAATGTCTTCCTCCTCACTGTGTCTTCATTTCTTTCTTGCCTCATTGTCTTTTGAGAGGACATCAGAGATATTTGAGTAACTGTATGATGCTGTTTACCACCATATTTATTTTATGGAAAAGTCCAAGTACCAAAATCCTAGTAAAATAGTTGTTTTCCTTCCTGAGTCAGATCCAGCAGGACCTGGTCATCCCCCTGCACACTGCAGATGTTTATCTCCAGTTAATGGTTTGTGCAAACATACTAAAAGATAAGTCAGCAATAAGCCCATAACAACAAAGGCGGCAAGTTTCATAAGTTCTTCTGACAAGGATTTTACTGATACAAACCACAAACAGAATTTATAGGTAATTTTAATCAGTCATACCTTCTACAGCACAGAGATATCCTCAAAAACACTTAAATGACTGCAGTAGCACAAACTAATTTTCAAAGCTCTCTCAAGAAAAACTTAAAATCAAGAAATGACTTGTACAACATACCTCATCTTCCACCAAGTTAGGTAACAGAGCTTTCATTCTAGCAACTGGAAATGACTTCTTTGTTGCTTCAGGAGACCCCAAAAACATCTTGAAATAAATTACATAGCACATTACCAGAACACTGACATATAAAAGCTGCAAAGATAGGAAGGAAAGAAGAAAAACAACCAGTGATACAAAATAAACTTACAAATGCAGAATTACATGCTAGAGTTCCAAATTCAGTGAGAACAAAATGTAGTAGATAGTCTTTATTCCTATCAAATTTTAAACAACTTAAAGATTTTAACCCCCACCTGGTTATGCTGGTGATTTTTTTTTTTAATGTGTAGGTTATCATAGCCCTCTGCCAACTTTTATGTTCTATTCAAGATTTTTAGACCCATTACTTAAAGACCAATTATAAAGCAATTACTCAGCTAAAAACCAAGTTGACAGAATAGCTACCATCTACATCTCTCTGATCAGTTATAAGCTACCCACTACAGCCACTGCAAAACTGAACGAAAAAATAACCAAATGTCCACATCTGAGGTGGATCACATTTTCATTTCTAGGTAAACTGATATTGCCCAGGTGACAAACCTATTTTTCAGGTGTCAATATATCCTTTCTTCATTGTAGCAAAGAAAGAGTTTTAATCTGAATACATTACACATGATTAGCACCTTCTGATAAGATGATGTAGGTTGGTGATACAGGCTGACAAGATTACACGCAATTATAATCTTCTACACAGAGAATCCAAAGTCTAACATTAATATTGAAGCCAGGTGGTGAACAGAGCCTTCAAGCACCAGAATTTATAACTGATTAAGAAGAGAGTTAAGATAAAACTTATACAGAATAACGTAACCTTATTTGCAAAACGTGCCTTCGCAGACAGAACAAGGTGCTCTCTTGCACACCCACTAAACTGCTCAGGGTCAAAGTGCCAAGTCAATAACAAACATCAGGAAAACACTACATACAAGTCCTAAATCTTAAACCTCTCAGAAGCATTTTCTCTCACCTCCTCTAAGTTATTTAGCAGGCTAAATGTCAAAGGCAGCACCAAATAAAAATTCAGATGAATCAAGAATTTATAGAAAAAGAAAACAGAGGAAACTTACCTGAGCAAAGGCAAAAATATAGAGGCCCCACTGAGGATAAAGGGCTACTAAAACAACCGTCAAAATGCATTTTGACAGTACTGAAAGGCTTTCAGCAATTACCTTTAAAAAAGAAAAAACAGAGGTTTATTTTCTGACAATTTAACCACACACATAAACGTAAAATACATTAGTATCACACAGAATTTATGTAGGAATACAAGACTTTCAAAGTCAGTATGACTTTTATTACAGAGTTTCTTTCTGCTGAGTTGGCCATCTCAGATTGTAATTTCTCTGTGAATTTCCTATTCTTGCATTTCACAATTCCTCCATTGCACTTTACCAGTCCTTTGTATGGGACACAAGGAATAAAATTTTGCTCGAGCCAAGCACGTTCTTAATTTTTGCATTTCACAATTTCATACCAACAATCAATTGAAATACAAAATCGTGGAAGCTGTGTGCCTCTCCAATTAAAACTCACTGTTAAGTATTTAATGATAAGGTGTTAATTTCTAAATAAACCAACTTATTTAACAGGTACAAACTCATATCTGTGTTACAACTATGTCACACAGCACCAAACAGTACACATAGTTCTGTGGTTTTTTATATGCTTGAATATACAAAGATTTACTTCAGGGACCTGTTCTTTTCAACAGAGTAACAGAATTCCCCCCGACATGCATACACCCCATGTACTTTACTAACCTTAAGTCTCACAAACAAATGAGCTTGTGCTAAAACCCAGAACGGTTCTCCCAGAAGCTCGATAATTGCAGAAAGACCAAATGCCACTACACCAGCCTGATAATGAGGAACCACAGAAGGATCAGGTACTTCAAGCAAGTGCAGCCAGACTAAGCCCAAGAAAACAGACCAAAAAACACCAAGAGGAACTCTAAAAAGTTAACATAAAAACAATCAGTAACTTAAGCATAAAAAAATCCCCAAGAAAATTAGATTAAAATTTCACATATTAATCTGTAATAATTAGGAGGGAAAAAAAGAGCCCTGAGGAACTAATTTCTATTGTTACAATACCAAGAATACTTTTTTTTGTAACAAACATTTTTAAGGCACTCTTTTGCAAGACACAGAAAACGTTTTGCTGACTTGTCTATTTTTTACTCAAGAACCTCACATAAGGTCAATCATCTGCATTTCCTGTTCTTCAGGACTGAACAATTCTGATCCTGTATCAGCCTGCAGAATACCACAAACCCCTCATTGCTGCATTTTTATAGTCTGTGGTTACCAGGGGTTTGGCAGACAAGCTTTGTTGGATATTGCTGTAACAGATAAAGATGCCACAACTTCAACTGCTAGTCTCACTCTCAAAAATCACTGGTTCTCCAGAGAGCAACAGCAGAGTGAGCAGAAGAAAAAGCATGCCTGCACCTCAGATATGCCAGTTCACAATGCTCTATTGTAGTTCAGAGCCACTTTGATTAGTGACTGTAGTTAAAAAGCCAAGCTAGGCACAGGAGTGCAGACATGTATTGCCTTCTATTGACACTGCTTCACAAACAGAGCACAGAACATTTGCAGCAGGATCTATTTGACCCTTCCATTATCAGATCCCTAAGGTATCTGGCATCAAGCTCCCAAGATGTATTTTAGGTCCTTCAAGAAGTTAATCTTTTTAAGTTATGCTTCTCTATGAGGAAAAATTTAAAAAAAAAACATAGTCATTGTTAACTCTACCATTTAATGCCCACTTCAAAGGCTGACAAATAGCAGAAAATTGATTATAATATGGCAAAGAGAACAGCTCTAATACATTTAAGTATTAAATACATATAAGTATTAAATTCATCCCTGAAAGGGACAATCCCTCTTCTTTATATCTGGATGCAGATGACTACACACAACCTCCCATTCCTGGGCCAGATCTAATTCACAGCTGTACAGTTCCAGGGAAGGTCAGTAGGGTGACCCAACAGAAAACCACCATTTTAGCACGCAGGGGTAGTTTTCCACCATATCAGACAGGTAAAATTACTTCCCAACCCACCTAATTGAGGCTGCACAGCTGCTAGACCTGACAGAGAAGTAGCAGAGATATGTGTCCAGGAACCAGAAGGAAGAAACAAGTCATAAAATCCACTTGGCTGCAATGTGCTATTACACTCTCTGGCTGGAGCTTCACATAGACTTTAAGCTATGCACTTCCTGCTATAAACAGCACTGCAGTTGAAAAAAGTAGTCCCTTACTCCCTGTTTCTTAATTCCAACCCTTTCTTTCACTCTTTCACGTCTCTCCTAGCCAACACAAACATTTACATTGTCATGCCATTAAACTGCATCAGGGCTCAAGACTTTGAAAAAATTGGGGGTGGGGGGGTGGGGTGTGTGTGGAGCTAAAGCAGCTTCACAAACGCTTATCAAGTAATAAACGAGCAAGACTCAGCAAGCAGAGGAAGAAAAACCAAAGAACTAAATGTTTGTGCAACAGGACTGTCCTTTAACAGCTACAACATCAATGAAACTTCAGGTTAAGTGACAGAACAAACAACTCCTGATATCACCTTTGCTGATGCATTTTCCCACGTGCTCCAGAAAGAGATCAAGTTCATAAATGCTAAAGCAACAGACTTGACCAGCTTCTTCCTGCATCAGTCCTGAAACATGATTGAGGCTACTGAATGCTCAATGCTGAAATAATTACCTCAGTAAATAAACATGTGCCCTCATTTTGTGAGACAAGAATTAGAAATAAGCTTAAAGTAGTAAATTTTTAGAGGTATCTTACGTCAGCCACAATAGATTCATTGTTTTGGTCCAGTTTCGCTTTGTACTTCCACTTAAACAAGCTCTGCGAAATGCCTCCCTGGCTAGGAAGACAACTGTTGAATACAGTAGAGTTAGCCTAAAGAAGGTGAGGAAAAAGAAAAAAAATTAAGAGAGAAAATTATTTCTTTACATACTACTTCTGAAATCCCTCATGCAGCAACATCATTGACAGTTTTTACACAGGACCACCTGAGAGACCAATCTAACAGGTATGCAAAGAAAACAGAGATATGAGGTAAATATTCACCATTTCCTGAAATAGGAGGGAATGTAATTACATGAGATTATTCAAATATCAAACTTTAAGAGTTCTATAAACCAAAAACGCAGCTGAAAAATTTATTGGATAGCAACGCATGTAAGACGCACTTGTGTCTTCCTTTTCCTCAGCAAACTGATGGTTTAACATGACGAACAGGCCAGCAGTACCTGTTTCAGGCAAAAAAATAAACCCAGAGAGATTCAACGACCAAAGCACTTAAGAGTAAACTAAACAGCCTTATGCAAAGCGTTATAAGCGACGCAACCTACAGACCATAAACGCAGAGATGCTGCACCAAACTCAAACGCTTTCAGAGAGCCCCACCGCGCCGGCAGCCCTGCACCCAGGGAGGCCTCACGCACGTCAGCCTTCAGGCGAGCAGCGCGGGCGGGCTGCGGGACAAGGGCTTCCAGCCCGGCCGGGCTGCGGGACAGGGGCTTCCAGCCCGGCCGGGCTCCCTCCTCCTCACCTCACGTTGACCACACCAATCAGCTCTCTGGAGAGGTAGCGCAGAGTGAAGGCGTTCAGCCCGAAGGTGACCAGCCGGAACAGCACCTGCGAAGGAAGC